ACCCTGAACATCTCCAAAGAGGAGGGAAATGGGTGTCTGTTTAGAGGTTTCCTGCTCTCATCTTTTTCTCTAAACCTGTAGAAAGTATAGGCTTGAAGTATCCAAGAGCAAAAAAAAATCATACTGGCCTAAATCAGGAGTCGTACCAGTGAGGATTTACCGCTGTCTAATAAAATGATGCAGGTTCAGAGGATAAAAAACCAACCCAAAACCCCCAGTACATTACGCAAGCATTTAATCTAACGCAGACGTATTCATACCTAGTATGAAGGCCACCACGTAGTTCGAGATCTGTCCCATCCCCACGATGAGGAAGAGCACTGTGAACATCTCCCAGCTGGTAGAGAAGATCTGCAGGAAGCTGAAGCCGGTCTGCACGGCCATCGTCGAAAAAAGGATACTCTTCCTGCCGAACCTTTTGCAAAAGATAAAGGAGATTATTGTTGAAACAGCGTTTGTTTATGGAGCAGGGCTATGTAAGAGAGCACGAGGGAGCACAGATATCCAAGAGATGCAGCTTAGAACAACCTGAAGTTTTGTTCATTTTAAAGAATTTTGTTTATCGTTTTCATAAGCACTGAAAAAAAAAAAAAAAGTAAAATTTCCAAGACGCAGGAAATAAACCAAGCAGAAAAATTAAGAGCAGAAACTTCAGGGAGCAACCAGACAGGGACTAAAGAGGCTAGACAACATAGACAGCGGTACCTGCGTGGGAGACACCTGACCGCAAGCCACGAAAGTTAGGGAACGATGGCGTTTAGGCGACTGGCATCTATACGCTGCAACACCATTACACTTTGAATCTGTTAAACAGCTTTATCAGCTGCTTTCAGTCTCTCTGAGTTGCCATACGTGTTGCACCCCTCCTCTCAGCCGCCTGCCTGCAGTAGAGGTACGTAACATTTTCGTACGGAGAGGTAAGAGCAAGCTTACGGGCGGGTTTGCACGCTCGCGTGCTGGCCAGGGCACGCTGCCCTCTGCACGGATGCTGCACGGGCCGCATCGTTTCTGCAGCAGCACAGGGGAAACGGGTACGGGCTCAGAACGTACCCCTTTACTGACAAATCATTAAAAAAAAAAAAAAAAAAAAAAAATTTGATGGAATAGCTCATGCTAGAAGGTGAGCGGGCTGCCGGGCAGGCTGGCCGGCTGCGCTGCCGCCGGGGCACGCAGGCTTTCTCAGATGCTCCCAAGTGGGCACATGGCACCAGCGGGGATTTAGGTATTATCTCGTCTGCCTTTCAAACAGTAACACTGCCTGACTTCTGCGCTGGGGGCAGGGGTGGGGAGATTAAATTCAGATTGCATGGAATTTAATGCTGGAGGCTTTAGGATTAAGACTGCCAGCGAGTTTTGAAACCCCTCTGCTAAACACCCAGAGGAGTGCTGCAACTCTTACAAATTCCTCGCTAACAGGCAGCGATCAAAGCAGTATTTGAGACCCTGCCATATGGAAAAAAAGGCTAAGGGATGTATACAGAGGGAAGCAGAGACTCACAGAAGGAACATATATTCTGCATTTGCCACTCGTAAGGCCAGAACTTCAATACTGCCCAGATAATTGTCAAGTGCCTGCAATGTTTTCTTGATATTTTGCATCTGCTTAGTTAGACGGTGTGCCATGACTGCTATCCATTTACAGGTTATCTTTTTTCCTTCCTCTTGGATACGCTTACTTCATTTCCAGCAAACCATCTCTTCTATGCAGAGCTTCCATTCAAAGGACAAGTTTCTATCCTGCAGCTCTAAGAATGGACCGTCAGTTAATGCGTGACAAAGAATGTCCTTTAAACGACTAAGACGACCGGATGAAGAAACAAATGCGGTCGTGAAGTGAAAGCCACCACATCAACCTGCAAAGCAGCCACGTGGGCTCCTTGCAGAGATCAGCTCTTGGTCTCCTAAAGCGCCCACGAGGCTGTGATCCTGCGCCGGGGGTCGATCAAGGTGGGGGTTTTGAAGAAGCCAGGCCAGTTCCCTCCTTTTGAACAAAACTCAAGAGACCTGGACATTCCACTCCCTTAACACCTCTTACGAACAAACACGCCAGCCGTGGCACCCGGTCCGCC